GGACGGACCATTAGAAAAGTGATTGGGATGGGAAAAAAAAACAATCATGCAAGGGAAGGTGACTGAAACAAAAAATCGTGCGAAGAAGAAGTAAAGAAAAAAATTCCTGCAGAGTGAATTGCACTGTCGGGCTTACGAAATGTACCCGCCTGAAGGGCACCTTGGTAAACAATTTAATACCGTTTTCCTGGTCCTGGTGAAATCCCCAATGACCTGGGTTTCTCTACAGTTAAGAAAACGGACATTTTTCCCTTTCAAGGCTGATACATTTTGTGCGTAGCAACTTCATCGTGGACACTGTAAGCCAAACACCCTTGCAGAAAAATCCTTATAGCTAACCACGGCTTAAAAGTGATAAAAAAGCATGTTCTTTAAACAGCCGCCCTTTTTAATTCGTTTGCATTGAAGCAAACGCAGCACATACTGTGTTTTGAAAGTCTCGACATATAGGAGTGATTTCACAACTGACATGTATAAATTACGATTGTGGACACAGATGTGCACACCCATTGCGAACCGTAACACTTCTCCTAAGATGGCCGCCAAGATTAACGATGGACAAATGTTGTAATCAAAGACAATTATAGAGGTGTTAACACAACTGATGCGTTTAGTATGGGCAGTTTCAGTCTATTTTAATCCAGGTTCTAATGAGTGGTGTTAAAGTAATTTTGGAGCCAGCCTGCAGGCCGTTAAAGCCTGACATCTCGGCACTCACCTGACTTCTTCCTAACTTCTTCTTCTGATAAAACATGTTCGCATAAATAAAGAAATAAAGAGTGCAGTAGCTGGACCTCATGTCGTACAACCGCCGCGAGGACGATTACTCCCTGAATTGTACGACACGAGGTCTAATTACTCATCCATCGTATCAACAACAAAATTATTAACCCGCTTATGTTCTAGATCACTATATAAAAGTGAAAAAAGTAGTATTCCGGTTTGTCTGGATGATGTTCGGAAGGTATTTCGTCTATCATGAATTACGGAAAAGGATAATCATTTGAATCTTAAAAGTTATTGTCGTTTCACAATTTCAGATTCAAATTTCAAAATTAAAAAAGTCTTTCGAGAACTGGGTAAGATGAAAGATTGTTATACAGTTGGCGTTTTTCCTGCTACAGCGCGCCCATTCACTGGCTAGTTCATGGTCACATGACGTCTAACAAAGAAACTGTTACACGCCAAACGCCATGATCGGGCAACATTGCGAAAACTATGCCGTTAAACGGGAATCAGCTCACTGTTACCCGCGAAATGTTGACGGCTGTTACACGTCATTTGTCAATAAAGTGAATATGGGGCAATACTTATAGTGCTACTCGTAAACCCTTAATAACTCTTCAAAAGAGAGCTATACGAACTATAACTTTTTCAAAACCAGATGAACACTGAGCCTCTTTTTAAGGAATTAGAGATCCTTAAATTAACTGATCTTGTTACCCTTCACAATGCACTCCTCATATATCACTATTACTATAATCTTCGTCCATCTTCCTTTGAAATTTTTTTTTTTTGGAAACAGTAGCATATGTACACTCATACAATACTAAGCTTGCTTTTAAATCAACCTATTACATCAATACCATCAAAACAAACTATGGTAAATTCAACATTCGCTTTGCAGCTGTNGAAAAAAATAGTATTCCGGTTTTTCTGGATGATGTTCGGAAGGTATTTCGTCTATCATGAATTACGGAAAAGGTTAATCATTTGAATCTTAAAGTTATTGTCGTTTCACAATTTCAGATTCAAATTTCAAAATTAAAAAAGTCTTTTGAGAACTGGGTAAGATGAAAGATTGTTATATAGCTGGCGTTTTTCCCGCTACAGCGCGCCCATTCACTGGCTAGTTCATGGTCACATGACATCTAACAATGAAACTGTTACACGCCAAATGCCATGATCGGTCAACATTGCGAAAACTATGTCGTTAAACGGGAAAAAGTTCACTGTTACCCACGAAATGTTGACCGTTGTTGCACGTCATTTGTCAATAAAGTGAATATTTTTTTCCACCGGTTTGACCCATTTCTTTGCTATATCACAAATCACTTAATGACTGATCCCTTGGGAAACAGTGAATTTTGTTTCCCGAAAATCTGAATGTTTCCCGAGACGAAGTCGAGGGAAACAATGAAATTTTCGGGAAACAAAATTCACTGTTCCCCTCGGGACCAGTCATTAAGTGTTAATTATTATTGTATATAGGATCGACGGAGCATACGAAATTATTTTTTGTCCTGATTTGGTCGTCAAATTTCTATGCTTAATTGTAATGTAATTCCCATTTAATTTAATTTAATTTCCTATTTCATTCTCCGCAAAGACGAATAGCTCATAAGTTGAATCTTAGTATCTCCA